TTAGCATTTAACCCTGGGCCGGATTCAAGCTTTACGAGGTCCGGGACTGGAATTTTAACTCCTAAGAAAAAAATGTCACCACATTTTTTATGAGTAACGTTTTACCAAATGGGTACAGTAACGCAACTGCACCGAGGAGTTACTGTGCCGGTGCGTTGGTGCACTAAGCTATTCCGGAAACACTGTGCCAACTCCTGAAAATCCACAGAGTTACCCATAACAAACAGCAGGAACAAAAATAAAACCCGCAAACTATTTCTGAGTAGTCCAGGAAAATATCTAATTCATTTGAGTGATTTGCATTGCGAGGGGATTAAAACGATAGTATCCATTGCACCATCAATAATATCGATCCTACATTGTCTACCACCTTGAAGCAAGCAGTTTATTTTGTTTAACGTACACTAGGAAATTGTCTTACTTGTTTTGTTCGCAGTTTTGCGTAGCTCGGTTTGCAGTACCGAAAAGGTCACCGATCTGAAAAATAAATATGTTGAGTTGACCGCAGTTGTGAAATATTTAAACATTTTAGATCATTGAACTAGGATTCATATTATAGATAGGCAACATTCGTGATATGGTATGATCATGCAATATAATCATATATAATACATATTATATATAAAACTTACAATAAAGTTAATATAATGTAAACAATAAATTTATAAAAAAAACAAGCAATGTGAAAACATAATTAATTTGGTTCTCTTTGAATTAAAATTAAAATAGACAAATTTTTTTAGCTCTTACAAAACTGTTATTTTGTGAAATAGGCAATTTGCATCTTAGAACGACGATATCCTTCTCTATTGGTTTCTGATCCCAAACTTTTTCCAAAATATTATTTCAGGTTCGAAAATGTCAAAAAGATACTTTTATGAAGACTGTTATTGGTACTTTAGGTCCTAAACACTATCAGTTTTGTTTGAGAGTCGATCTGCCCCTGGCAAATTAAACATGATAATATTTTTTACTGCAGCCTAGTCGCGTTCCTTTCGCGATTCTCACAACAAAAACTATAAATTCCACTTTTAAAAATCTAAAATATTCTTATCAATGCGTATGTTGCTCTTTTGTACGTTTTTATTTTAATAGTCGCATCATTTTTTAGTTAGATATTTTTGACGTGATTCACTGCAGGATTTTCGAAATACATCAAATACTTATTTCTGGGATAAATATACGATGTAATGCTCAATTTATTGCGAAGCAAAATCATTACTTGATAAACAAACACCATGTTGCGCTGTACAGTCCAAATATGCGTAGTAGCTTAGTTTTTGATCGTCACACAAATTGAAAATTAGTCTAAAACTATCATATGTACCTGAATTATAAATAGACCGAAAATAATGCACGTCTCTTTAAACATTTCAACTTGTTAAAAGGAATGCAATAATGCACGTTGTCAGCTATGGAGACCATTAGAACTTGTGTGACTTTTACGCAAATCCCATACTTTTTAAACAATTTATTACCTAACATGTTTTTTTAGCTAACAACATATTGCAAAACTTCCGCTGACTATTATATGTTACGGAGCTTATAATTATTAAATTAAAATATTCGTTAAATTTGAAATGCAACAATAGCAAAAATTTTTTCATGTGCTATGTACAGGGCTTCATTTTCAGGTTGGCACGAATCCATCAACTTAATGGGACAGATAGAAAAACAATATTTAAACAATAGGGCATCATGCGTTCTGTTCATGGAGAAATTACATTACATTTTTTTTAAATATAGTGCTTATAGTCGGCGAAATTGTTTTTCAACCTACATTTAGTTATCATTAAATAATCAATGCCGCCACAGGAACGTGGTTTCAGTTAAGAAAAGTGGAGCATTTTCGTAAAATAACTAATTCTCAAACGTCAAATATTTCAAAATTATAGTATTTTGCGATAAATGGCAATTTTGATAATCTACCAACCCAAATTAATTACCTAATTAATAATAATTAAGTCACTTCAAAACGCTTCGGAATCAGTTATTAATGGAAACTATGTAGTTATCTGTTTGTTGACGATTTTGCGAAATTGACCCAAATACAATTATTATATATACCCAAATACAAATTATTGCTCCCTTCTGCATTCAATGTTTTCCATTATTTTCTGGTTATTTCAGTGTCATTTTTTCACTGCCTCTGCATAGTTTTCCTTTATAAAATGCCCAAGCGGTTACATCTCTGTTATGCTTATATCGCCTGCTCTGCAGGCAACAGTCAGAGTAATTTGAACAGATACATGGTAAAAATGTAATAACTTTATAACGTAAAATAATTATTACATTTTTATTGGGCAAATTAACCTTCAGACTAAGGTGATTAGAGGTGTCGATGTTGCTTAGGCAATTGAGGAAAAGTACGGTAGAAATCACTGCTTTGAATAGGTATATCCAATTAGGCATTTGGATATCATCGATAACTCTATTAAGCCATGATCTAGCCATCTGGAGAGAACATTTCGACAGCTTTCAAGGATGCTATTTTCCTGTTCCAAAATTACGTAGTATCTAGGATTGAATGATCCGAAAATACAATTGAAAAAATTTAATGTTCAAATAAACCCGGAAAAGTCTATAAAAAGAAACTAGAAATATGTAACTAGTATGAAGGAAAATTTGAATTGTTGAATTTTTTGTAGAGTGGACCCGGTTTTTATCGGCAAAATTTGACGATAGTTAGAGACTTGCTCGTTTGCAAYCCAGTAAACRCCTGGAAACGCATAGCCACAAACCATTCTACTTTTTAGGAGCAGCAACTAATCCCAGGYCGTTAGCAGTTTCTTCGTTTTAATGAATAATGCTCCAGCTTGCAAAATTCTTGCTAGAACAYTWATTTCTGTGCTGACGGTTTTCATTAGTTATAGTGCCAAAATGTTTAAAGTGATTGACTTTACCGTTATCTGGCTCCTTGATTTATATACTACCAACATCTTCGTTTTGCTTATATTTGTGATCAGACCATAATTTTTATTAGAATACAAAAGCCTGTCCGCCACCCTCTGCAGGTCTTCGAGTGCAGTTGCAATCAGAACGGTGTCATACCGGCATACCGTAATACCGTATTCTATACATGGATGGCAACTCAGTGAATTTTCAGGAGYTGGCGCAGTGATGCCCAAATGGCTTGGTGGCTCAGCCTAACGCACCGACACAGTTACTCACCGATGCAGTTGCATTGCTGTACGAACGTAAAACTYGCTATGATATGTAACGCGATGAGTTATAACGAAAAACTCAGAAACAAAAACACTCTACAAGTTCAGTGTTGTGCGTTTAGTAAACAAGTGTGCATTCTAAAAGTTAAAATTTCAAATTTCACTCATCGTTTAGAAAAATTTGCTTAGGATTTGAAAAAACTGTTGCAAGGCACATTTTGCATCGCGTTTTTCAAAAATAAATTTCTTAGAAACCAAAAATACTCTAAAGTTCAGAGTTGTGCGCAACAATTATTGTCAACATTTCTTCAAACCTTCAAAAATTAATTCAAGTCACATAAAATTCTAAATTTAGAAAGACATAAAAAAAAACCGCGAAGAAATCACTTTAAAATGAAACTGTTGCTCAATTCCCGAGTGATGATAGAAACCAACAAAATGTCAACTAATTAAAAATGTCTTTAAGTTCTGATTTCAAAAATTAGTCCGGCACGAGTGCAATTCTAGGTGCGGCGCTGTGAGGCGCGTTGAGCTAGAACTCATCAGGTCACAGAGCGGCTTCAACTCAAAAGCGCAACTCAACGTGGTGTTACTCAGGCCTACCATATTCAACATTTACCAACTAATAATGCACAAACCGAAAGCAACTAAGACATTAAGCATAATGACGTGGCAAAAAGTGCACTTGTTCGACATCTTAAAAATTTCGTGGAAAGTTTGTTTCTTAGAGATGAAGTGACATCTGGATGCTAAATTAAACCATCTAGATCTTAATATCCGGAGGACTTGGAAAATATTGAACAACGAACTGAAAAAATTACGACAATTGCGCAAAAATTAGACATGGAAGGAATAATTTATCGTAACTTCTTGGATTTTGTCTTCAAAGTCACACTATGTAAAAATGAACTGAAAGAATTCACTAGAAGATATTTTTCATACAACTTTTTTCTCGACATTTCGTTAGTTTTGAGATGTGGAACAAGTACACCTTTTCGTTAATTTTTATGAATTCTTTCGTTTTGTACGTTCATAGTTAGTAAAAAAACCACAAGTAAAAAAATGTATAGCTTTTTACTTCGCACTAATGTTGATTTCGGTTCTTGGGGTTTAAGGGGCGAACTTCAAATTTTGATAATTCATATATGGCAACATTTTCATTTCAAATCTAAATTCAGGTATCTACAGCTCAATTATTTTTTATAAGATTTCAGAAAATTAGTTTATCAACTTGAGATGCTAATCTTTAATCTCGAATCACCCATTCAATTTGTTGCTCTCCATTTCTGGACACCCTGTATATGCCAATTATTGAACTTATGAATTTAAACTTACAATTAGAGTTTTCCAAAGCAGCTCGAAAGCTTTCCTATATTACAAAGCAGGAATTTACGTCAATATTGAATCATTTAATACACCACTTAGCAATAAGTAATATCTTAGAAAATTCCAGTCATCATACATAGTAAACAGACTGTAATAACTGAACTATTAAGTCATGGTAAACACGTACGCAGTTCTAATATTAATAATCAGAACCCAAATATCAGTTTTCGCTCTTATTGTTTTATATCGAAGAAAATTGTAGTATATACTTTGTAATATTGTAAAGCTTAAAATATAAATGTAATTTAAATGCAACGCATCTTAGAATTGGAAGTTTTTGTGGCTCCAATAATAGTATTTCGATCATAAATACTGCGAATAAGTAAATTTGAGCCAATTTATAACATGCAATGATTCAGGTCAGGTCACAATAATACACGTGGCTTATTTCGATTCAAAAAACGTGGAGTTCAAAACCTAAAACACCCAGGTTGTGCCATACATAAATATTGCGTATTGCGCCATGCATATCACTATTTATTTTTGGCCTTTAAGTTTAAATATATCGCGATTCTAAATTTAAAACAAATAATTTTAAGAAAAACGTTTTTGAATCTTATGAACTTTGTAATTAATTTTTAATTGTTGATTTCAAGACGATTTAATTCGGTGGGCGTAACGACTAATACTTTTCAAGTGCCCAATTATTAACTAACAACAATATTTACGTCTCGTCTATGGGTTTTCCATGAAAAAAGATAACAAATGTATGATCCAAAGTGAATAAATGCGATTAAATTCAAATTCAATAAAATTTAGTGCATAGTTATTCATAGCTGCCAGTCGCTTGATCATATTAACTTTGTGGCTGATCTATTTTGAAAAATCTGGCAGAATTGAAAAACGGAAATATAGAAAGTGTCATCGAAGTAAAGGAGCGATAATTTGCAAATTAAGCATTGCTTGGGAATGAGGGCAAATGTTAAGAAAATTAAAATAAAATTTCTAAGAATTAAAAGCACACATATAAATTCATCATTGAACTCAAAATACAATGACTTTCGGAATGTTCGATGAGTATTTTTTTAAAATGTCGGGCAGAACTAGAAAAAACTGATGTATCTGATCGTTTTTGACCCAGCTAGTTCATTTACCTATAAGTAATATTTTTACATACTTTATAGGCCGACTATAAATGAATAACTCAATTTCATTAGACAGAGTTATAGAGCGAAGCAACTCTAAACATACAATATAAAACAGCAGAATTGTGTTGCGATTACGTTTAAAACATATCAGTCATAAGAATCATTCTGATAATTTCTAATTAACAAAATGGTACTTTCAATATATTTTTTTATATTTTGTATGTAATTTTATGGTTTTGCGAGAATATTTTTTGTGTAGAATCACCCCTTGCATTTTGCGCACTTCATTTCCAGACACACCTTGTACTTTTTGTGCTTGTAAGCTTGTAACACTGAAATATATCTGGAACCATCAGATTCATTTAGCGATAATCTTGAACGGATGTTTTTATTAAAAGTTGGCTATTAACTAGATTATAATAAATCCGATCGTAGAACTTTAAACTGCAAACTGCTGCCGAATAAATTTACATATTGCGCGTTATGCATTTCAATGTAAACAATTATTTTTGCATATTACTCCACAGAAGTCAATAGAAAAACACTCCAAAATATTCGTTGATAGGTCAAATCATTCTACGCTTTCCCTCATTTTTTTATTACGTAGATCGTTGTTTTCAATAAACACCTCGAATCAACTAGATACCAACGTTGCCAAACAATGTAATGAATGTTTCAAACAAATTACAATTTTTAACCATGACGTGTCCACAAACATAAATAAGTGAATTTGACTTATTTTGGCCTAATTTGCATAATTATTTGGAGATATTTAAATAAAAATGACATAGACCAAGTGAAATCATCTAAATGTTTTCACATCCTGACTAAATTGAAATATCTTATTTATCGATAACCAATATTAATCAACTTGTTCTACATTTTTTATAAACAAAACTTTATAACATAAGTCAATGTTAAAAGCTAAAGGCAAAAATCTAATTTCCCTGTTTTGGATGGTGGATTAATTCATATTTAAAAACCACTTTTAAGAATGAAATTGCCAATTTGCAATTAAAATTCATTTAACAGATATACACTAAAGAGTTTCGTTCGGTATTATAAATTAAAAAAACTAATGGATGATGTTTAGATAGTACACAATTTCCTTTAACTTCTTATGATTCTTTATCCTCAACTATTAAACAAGTAATTTATTTCCCAATTATTGAAAAACTATATGTATATAAATTAGATTAATACCTACTCAAAGGAGTTATGGTTTATAGGCCATTGCTTGAAACTGGCCAGTTTTTTTGGACTTTTAAGCTGTCGTAGCAACAAATTTCTCCCTAACGTTTTGCAAACACAAATTATATCTTCACCAGTTTCAAGACAAATACTGGTGAATAGAGTAGGTGGCAAATAAAGAAATCGACTTTTATATCTATATTATACAGGGTGTCCCGTAAGCTCATGATCAAAGGGGTATTGCGATATTCTTTGGACCAAAAGAAGACGATCTGATCTAACTTTTATTAACAAAAAATGTCTGGCTTATCTGCTATTGATCGTCAAAATTCTTCAAAAAATTGATTTTTTTTGAAATATAGGGAGAATGGGTACGATGTATTTTAGTTAAACTCGCTGTGAATTTGTTCTTATGTAAAACTCATATTTTGATGAAACAATCGAGTTCAGCCGTTTTCGACAAGTGGTGAATTCTTGAGTGTGTGATGTGTGAGTGAATGAAATCAATTCATTTTTTTTAGATTGACGCACTAATCACTTGTTCACAATTTTGTGCTCTTCGTAAAATCTTGCTGTTGTTAAAATTCACAAAATAGTGAATAAATGATTAGTGCATCAACCTAAGAAAAATTAGTTGATTTCATCCTCCAACTAAAAAGTTCTGGTAGTTTTTGTACCACGACACTCAATAATTCACCACTTGTCCAAAACGGATGAACTCGTTTGTTTCATCAAAATATGAGTCTTACATAAGAACAAATTCACAGCGAGTTTCACTAAAATACGTCGTACCATTCTCCCGATATTTCAAAAAAGATAAAATTTTGACCTTTGACCATCAATAGCAGAGAAGCCAGACATTTTTTGTTAATAAAAGTTAGGTGAGATCGTCTTTTTTGGGTCCAAAGAATATCGCAGTACCATTTTGATCATGAGCTTACGGGATACCCTGTTTATAAGTATTATGTAATATTAGTACTTGACTATTATTCTTATGAAAGGAAAATAATTCGATGAAATTTAAAGTAATACATCATCTACCAAATTTTCTCTAATCCAAATTGAAAGTGACAAAATTGTTAAATATGCTTATTAAACCATAGCACGTCTTTTGTGTTTGAAGCTGATTTTCAATCTATTTTTTTCTGCTCCCTATTCAACAGCAATTTGTTTTTAAAATACGTGACTTAACTTAGAAGTTTACGAAAATCTGACAATTTTTCTCAAACTTTTTGCTGGCTTTTCTGATTCCTGCACGTATGCTCATTATGCGGGTATTCGAAATACACACAAAATTTTGCTTCTTTCCACTTCCTGGAAAAAGCACGTCTTAATCGGAAATATTTATGATTGAAATCTTACCTGTGTAATCATATCGATAATTGAAAAAAAAATTACAACGTAATAAATCATAATATATGCGTCAAGATTGAATTGAGAATAAAATCAGCCTTCAAAATAGGTTATTTCAAAATCATGAAATTATTTTCTATTGAAAAAATTGATTGATTATTATTGCAGCAATGATATAGCTTGTAAAAGAACATTTTTAAATAAATTGAATCATAAAATTCACACCGATATTAAAATTTTACACGATTTTTTATAGGTATAGCCGATCGTTTACACATACACTCAAAAAATACCAAATTATTCGATTGCGTCCAAATAGTTAAACAGGAAAATTTAAAAACATCTTGTTAGTCAATTAAAACATCTGAATTTTGATAATTTGTATAAATGCAACCGAGCAGCTAATGCGAAACTTTGAAGCAAACCAAATGAAGCCCAATTCCTTCTATAAAAAGCCAAAGAAATAGCAAATTGCTATCTCCTACCGTTATTGAGGAATTTATTTTCAAAGCATCAACAAAAATTAAATTACTGGTCAACGATACGATCAAACGGTCGACTGTGGGAAATTTAATGCAAAAGTCAGAAATGAAGAGAAAATTTGGGTGTGCGATTGAAAAACCAAACTTTATGAGACATTCTGTATACTTGAAAATTATTTCAACATAGTAAGATCGCGAAATACAGTAAACATGGTGTTTTAATTTCTTCTCTAACTCTCAGCGATTAAAATAAAAATGTGACATTTTGTACAATTTTAATATATACGCGACATGGCAAACATAAAAAATATTGCGTCAAAGGAAAGGAAATTCGAATTATTACTATGAAATATGTTTGATAAAGCTTTTTTATTTTTTCCATCATAGTTGACGTATATTAGTAGTTCTGTACACACAGATGCCCTTGGAAAATTGATTAAGTAGCAATTTGTTTACTTATTTAATGGGTTTTTATTATCCTTTGTACACTATAATTAATACTAAACAATTACGTGCGATTAGGCTAATTTTGAAAACCGTTCAAGTTTTCATCGATAACCAAACACTACTAACTCAAATTTCTTTTTCTGTTCAGATTGTACCCGGTAATTATTTTGTGATTATTTTACTAAGCTGTTCCAATATTTAAAAGAAATTAAAGTGTGGATTTTCCCATACAGAAAGTTGATATGCTGTCATTTTGGTCTAGAAAGTGAAGACCAAACCAAACACACTAAACTAGAAAAACTATGAAGCAACAAATTACAAATATTTTTCAAAGGCGTTGAATCCAGCTGCTGCATTCACATGCATTGATACATTTTACAATAAAATAAAATCCTAGGGGCTCAATTGATTTGCTTCAAGTTTAGAATTTTCTAGAATATCAAAGGCAAGCATATAAAATACTTATGTGTTTTCCATTCCATCACTCCACTTTTGTGTACTATGACTATGGAGAACAGTTTCACAGCCGTAAATCTTATGTTTCGTACATTCCGAGTTCTTTCGTATACAACTCTGCAAAATTCTTTAATTCAGGAGTGAGTTTGCGGCGGAAGTTTTTATACACTTTAAAAGAGAAGAACACTATTTTTCTTATAAATGATTGAAATTGACTTTGATGTCTTTAAAGAAGTTTGAAATAATTAAAGAGGATAGTTTCGTAACAAATGTAAAAAAAGGTTCATGTCTAGTCAAATTTATACGTGTTCTAAGGTTCAAAATAATAATATATGTGTTTGTTCTTCAAAATGCTATGTTAATTTCGCAAATTTTTCTTGAAACTTTTATAACAGCGATCATACAATGATTAGAAATGTTAACCATTTTTCTCGGATTTTACACAATTTTTCGGAGTTTTTAACACCACCGAATCATTTTCTTTCGGGCATTAAAGCGTAATTGTCATAATAATTGTTGATGGGCAGCGGACAATTTTCATGCCATGCAAGAACACAACGTCCGGTTTATATTAACATATGGTGCAGCATTCTAAAGTCCGTCATTAAGATGATTTACAGATTTTAGAAGGAACACGAAGTTCCTTTAGATTTTCATCCACATAATTTTCCAACAGGAGTTTCAGAAAACATATTTCGGAGATCGCTGGATTGGAAAAAGTTCACCGAGCTTACTGGATCTCATGCCCCTAAATTTTTCTCTTGGGATGGATGAAGTCGTTGGTTAATGCTCCGAAAATGGGCAGAATAAATGTGCTATAGTTGGCATTTTTAATACGTGTTCATCGTTCGCTGCTAGACCGATTTATAAACGCGCAAATAAGTGTATCAAAGTGAGAGGTGATGTAACCAAAAAAAATGTTTGCGATCAATTCATGCTATTTGTGTATAATTAACCGTTTATGTAATAATGTTTTCTTAGTTTTTATATGAAAATTACTCAAAGTATCTCAAACAATTTTAAATCGTACGTGAACATATGAGGTTATTTCGTTTATTTTCACTTCCTACAAGTATTCTTAAAATATTGGAATAAAATCCTGAATCATTCTGTACAAATAAGCCAGTCTTTATGTTCGAGATATTTTGAACGATGAGGCAACATGGCTTAGATACACGTTTGATTTTTCACGCGCTACGACCATGACCATCTCAATGTTACACAATATTTGAATTTAATTTTCAAGAGTGAAGTAAATTATCACGTCGCACTTGGGATATTTAGAAGTCGCATTTAAAGTTCAATTTTTCGGTAGAAATGAATTTTTGTTCAATCGAGTTCATGTCTTTCTTTTCAAATTTGTCAACTTTCAAATTTTTCATTCCCTCCAGTACAAAATCTGTTCTACATATGAATTTAGTGATCATCTGTTCGAAAAAAATGATTGAACAATCTCATTAAACTTTCAAAATATAATTGTTAATTAAATGTTCATAGTTAAGGAAGTATAAATCCAGAACTGGAAATGGATTTTTTGGTTGTAAAGACAATAGCTTCTTTTTTCACAAACTGTTTGTTGGGTATTTCGCCTCAAACATTTTTACCTTTTTTTGAGGAGAAATACCCAACAGTTTGTGAAAAAATGAATCCTCCTCAACAATATAGAATTTATCTACAATAGGCTTTGAAATATGTACTTACAAAGGTATTTTAATGCAATCTGCTTGAGATAGTAGGCAGCAGTTAAAGAATGTTTCCGCAATCATGTAATGAGTCAGCCCATTATTGGATGTCAGTTCAGTGCCTAAATTTGAACAGCTTAAAACGATCATAAAGCATAAGCCGTATGGTTGATATTTCCTCACACGAACTTGTCATTCAAAACAATTGCACGAAATAGCATTTTTGGGAGTCCCCAATTTATAATCGATTTTTTCCTAATGAAATCAAAATAATGACTCACAATATAAACCATTATTGTGTGCCATATAGAATAATATTCCCCATCATCAAAAGCTTTGCGGTATTTTATCTCCCAAAATTTTGTGGGCACCGAAAGTATTTTCATTAGTGTGAGTCATTTTATAACCAAGCATCGATAGGCTTTTTGAAATTATTCTACGAAGAACGTTCTTTGAAATTGCGGTCCAACATAATAACTAGTCATTCAGATCTCAAAGTATGTATGTACAGCCAAATCATCCGATGTACAAAATAATAACCGTTTTACTTTTTTATATGTAGGTAATTTTATTTCTATGAAGTCATTATTTTGTACATATTTTACGTATCTTATTTTTCTCGGCTGCGTTTACTTTCAGCATGCTTCCATAGTCTAGCATTGGCCTACAGCTGGATTTGTACAATTTTGTTTTCTGATATGAACTTTTTATTTCGATTTGTATCCCCTTTTATTTCATTATTTCTGCCCCAAATTTATTTCGTAAATTTCAGATTTATTTCTCCAAGTATTCAGGTACGTTCTTTTTCAGTTCAGTTGTGCCTGCCATTATTTTTGGGGTTTTCTGTAATTTTGTCATTAGATAGCAAAAGTCAATTTATCTTAGTTAGTATCTAAAATTTTTCGTTTGATTTCGCTGTAGCTTTGTCGTGTGTTATAAGCACAGTGTCGTCCGCATATTGCAATATGTACAGGGTTATTGATTAAACTTTGGCCACCCCGTTTTTGCATCTAATTTCATATTTAGAGTAAAATGTTAAATACAAAAGTTGTAGATATGAACGTCTAGTATATTTCAAGATAATACTTGATACAGAGCGTCTAGATAGAGATATGAGCGTCTAGTTTATTTTAAAATAGCATCAATTGGTACAGGGTGTCTCAAATTCAAGTGGCAGACCAAACTTGCCTTTTTTTAATTCAAATGCCGCACTCTTTATTGCTTATTCGAACTATTCGGACAATTCTAGGCCTATTCGATATAGATGTTCTATAATAATTTTCAACTGTTTTTGAGTTAATAACCAATATTGATTGAACTTTGGCCACCCCGTTTTTGCATCTAATTTGAAATTTACAGAAAAATGTTAAATGCAAAAGTTGTAGGTATTAAAAAGGTAAGTTTGGTCTGTCACTTGAATTTGAGACACCCTGTACCAATTGATGCTATTTTAAAATAAACTAGACGCTAATATCTACAATTTTTATATTTAATATTTTTCTCTAATTTTCAAATTGGATGTTAAAACGGGGTGGCCAAAGTTCAATCAATAAGTTATTGTGTAAAATATGGTTGTATATGAGACGGGAAAATATATTTTTGAAAAAAACGAGAACAGTGGCGATTTTTAAGGCAGGCTTTGCTCGGAGGAATGATGGGAACAAGTATTTTGTCGGAATATCGCAAAGTTTAAATCCTTTGTGCCGAACACTATCAAAGACCTTATTCATAAAATCCTTATTGACGTCCATAAATAAACTGGTTGTTTTCCTTCCCTGCAAATGCGTTGTTTGTCAGGACGAAGAGATGGCGTTTAGTGGAGTATGTTTTCCAATTAATTCTTGTTTATATGTTCGAACACTTTACTCAGTACCATCAGGAATGGAAGTTTTATAGATTGTTGGGTATTGTCTAGTCTATTTTTTGGTATGGACTATACGCTTTTTCCTGTATTCTGGAATTTCAATTCTTTAATTTTATTCTGATTATTTATAATACAGATTAATTTAGTTCAGATTTGTATGTTGTCTTCCATTTTAACATTAATGAAAACCCTACAAATGAGCTATGAGCCCTATGAGCTACTTTTCCTGCAAAAAATTCACGAACGGCTAAGAAACGGTGTAATAATTAAGAACAAATTTCATTTTTCAATTTGTCACTGAAGACCCATAATTCCATATCGCCAGATCGGAATTTTTTTAAGTCTTAAACAAAAAGACGAAAGAAAGTACTGGCCTTATTTTCAGGTCTTCTGTTGGTCCTGTCATTGTTGACCCACAATTTTGGGACACCCTGTATATAAATCGATAAAAAATCAGGTTTCTTATTAAAAAAACAATTGTTCTTAGGAAAATGTTTTATAGAATCAACATTGAACAGTGATAAAAATCTCACTTAATATATGAAAATAAGTGGAAACAATGAAGAATGATAGTTCAATTGCCAATTTAGAGGAAAATTTTAGTTGGCCATTTTAGTAAAATATTTGTGAGTGAATTTATATTTTCCGCTCTCTGAAAAAAATCGATTAAATGAAAATAAACAAGTATATTCCGGCTTTGTCAGTATGTCTGTATAATGAGAATATTTTTCGATCTTTCCTTGTGTAATTAATGGATTTAAAACTGCAATTTTCCAATTATCCATACAATATTACTTAAAATGATGATTGGGGAAATCTAATCGCCAGTTTAATCATTAGGCATTTTTAACCATATTATGTGCAAATGCAAAAAATTTTATTTCCAAAAGTTTACACCTGGGAAATTACATTTTATAGATTCAAGATGACGTGTAGTCTTATATTCAGTACTACCTACATACAAAACAAGTACATACCTACATAAAAGTAAAGTACAACTGTTTCTAAACATTGTTGGTCAAGGCAAAAAAATAGGAATATGATTCTCCATACTTGCATTCGAATTAAATATATTATTTAACATTTTTCTAAAATGCGTTTCACAGGTATAATTTAATTTAGAATTTCTATGTTAAGGCTCAATTAGAGTTCTCCTACTAGGTTGAGCTTTGATAGCACATAAGAGCCACCCTAACAATATTGTGATTTGATTGTTTTGTAAATAAGAAAATATGTACGTATACTTAAATACCTAATTCTTAATAAAGACCTAAAATTTTGTACCTACGGCTGAAACTTCTTTACGCTGTAAGTTTTAACTATATTGAGCCTCTGCCCAATAGGTGGGTGGCTCAATTGCCTTCTGCGAATGTTTTCCACGCTTTTCTGTTGTTCTTCTTTGGACAAATGAAAATCAGTCTTTTTGTACAGGTAAAAACACTGAATGTAATTGAAACTAAGATGAGCGGTAATTTTTCAATTTGTAAGCACCGCGTAATAAAGAATTTATTCAATGCTACACGTGCATATTGAGCGATAACCACGACGTAAATTTGATGTGAAATTTATAATTGAATAACTTCGCAAATTTTAAAACAATGAGCTGTAAGTTGTTTTATCACGTTTGAAGCGAAATTTCAAAGATCCAGTCCATGTTTGCTATCTTAATTCAATTAATTATTGAATAAAATTGCTTTGGTAATGAATAATAGATAAAAATAAATGTAAAGCAAGTATTTTACCATAAAACGCCCATGGCTTTTTTAATTAACTTTAATAATTACGCAATTGATATAAAAACAATAAATATTGTTACAAGTTTATAGATTGCTTTGTTTTTCACGAATTTCATAGAATTGTGTATTCATGATTGAATCACTGATAGTAACGGGAACGAGTCATAATAATTCTACAGATTATGAAATCAAACAACTAGGTTTTTGAAAAACGATGCAAATATTTATTTAAATATAATTAGGATACATTAAACGGTAATATGAAAATATATCGATATTTTCTTTAAATAATGGGTGAATATCAACTGCCGCACTAAAACGTTATAATAAGTTTTTGAATCGTCAAACCTGCAAAATGGTCCGATGCTGTTGGTTGAATTTATATAATAATGAGATAACTTAAATGGCCAGAAACACTGGCAAGTAACAAAAATACATACATTTTATACATAAATAATCTATAGGATAAATAGTTACAAAAATCACACATACTTACATCAGCTAGTTACATAAGGTACATTAATTCTCTACCATAACAATAATAGATAGATAACGGGGTAAAATCAGATGTGATGATATACAACAGTACACATTATATAAACGTGGGCAATAATAAAATTGATAACAGTAGAATGCAGTCATATTAAATTACGAAACGAATTAATACATAACACAATGCAAACTTTCTTGCATAAAATAAAACATTTCGTATAAAACTACAAAATTAAACGCTTGCTTCTGATGAATAAAAAATAAAATAATTCGTATAAAACTACAAAAAAAAAGTCGCTCAATTCTGATGAGTAATAATTATGGAACAAAACAGTAATATGAGAATAAAAAATAGGAAACCGACACTGGCAATTTCAGCTAAAAACAGCAAAAACAAGAAGCGCCCTGCTAAATATGTTTGTGCAAGTCCGTCACTCAAGAGACTCTTATCTAACAAATAAATTAACTATTTCTAAAATAAATAGCCCCTCGGGGAGCAATCACAGCACTTAGTGGCGGCGCGCCTCTTTTTCCTTCATTAAAGATTTTAACTGTTCCACTTCCGTTGTTAATCTGACGATTTCCGAGTGAAGGGGATGATGTGTTTTAGGTTCTTGGGGATTTTGAGTACCTTTCTGAAGAGACTGTAAAGTAGCCGCAGCCTGTGTAGCGGTCCATTCTCCACCCAGTGAAATGCCAGAGTCCCTTTCATCTGAAGAACCTTCCCCATCCCATGGGGGACTAGCCCGAGAAGGTTCCTGTTTGATGTTGTGAAGGGCTAGAAGGGCTGTTGCGGCATCTTTATCACCTAAGTGTGATTTGTGACGAAGTTTCAGCGGCAGACTGTTGTTAGGTTCAGCAGGAGCAGGCTGAATTGGAGGTCCTTCATCGCCAGAAGTGCTAGACAGCTCAAATGGAGATGGAGAACTTCTGGGTCTCCTAGCAGACAGATTCAATGCGCCAGGAGAAGGGTGCCTATATGGCATTTGGTAGGAGGGATGGTATTCTTGATGTTCTCTGTATGCTGGTTCTAGAGGTACTGGTAGGGGAGCATGCGTCATGGGCTGAGATGATAAGGGCTGATGAATAACTGGAGTGGGCACTGGGCTCTGAGGAGCATAAAGAGCTGGAGAGCTGCCAGGGTGGCCAAGTTTTTGCCGTTTAGTTAGACTGAGGACTTGTTCGCTTGTTGGAAGGCTGGCCAAAACTTTTTCCACGCAAACCACATTTTCTCCACAAATACCGTATTCTTCTCTAATTGCTTCTAATTGGGCTTTAAGAATTGCGTTTTCTTTGGTAAGCTCCACCACTCTTTGTTCCAAAACCATGTCATTAAATCGGCGTTTTTCACGAGATCTTTTAGCGGCCTCATTGTTTCTTCTTCGCCTGTCCCAATAATTATCATCTTTCTTGTTGTCAGGAGTGAATTCTCTCTGCTTGCGTTGAGAAAATAATTCCTTATGTTTTACTGATTGCATGGGATAGTGTTCAGCTCCTGGGCTGCTACTGTTAGAAAGCATTTCTCTGCTGTGCCCGTTTGGAAGTCCAGAATTTAACTGAGGCACTTCTCCGTTGACTGGTGAACCACTTTGGCCACGTCCCACAAATTCGGCAACCATTATATGTTGCTTTAGCACATCTGAAACAAAGAAACCATTCTATTAAAATTCGATTCAACCAGATTAACAATAAGGAAACATTAAGTGAAAATTGGCATTTTTCGTATTACCACTAAAAAAAGAGCGGTGATGTAATTTTGCGGGTCAATAAACATCACACCGGACCTAGACCTCTTTGGACTACTGTTAATTCAAATACGAATAACAAAAAGCCGTTAGCAAGAATTTGGTAAAGTTTTATTTTCTCTGCCCACGAGTTGGTGCATGTATGTATGTGTATACATTTTTGACCTACTTGCCAGGAAACTCGGATCGTTCGAAACAAAGATAACTGCGAAGTACAGCTCTCGTTATGTGACATGACAATGATACTGGGGAAACCCAGTAACCGAGGTAGATAAACCTAACTAAACGTGATTATCCAATATCTATTTGTCTGGCTGGCTATTATCTCATTAATAAACTGAAAAAAAGACAACAGCAACGTGATTTGGAGCACGTGGCACTATTTAATGGCCACGTTTCACTTGCTAGAAAATGGTTGTCTTGTTTTGTCTTTTATTGAGTGTTGTTAAATATTTCAGTAGATTTAATACGCATTAGGATTTTTTCGGATTAAAAATAGATTTCTCCGAATTAAACCCACCTGGTTCTAAAGGCTTCATTTCGCTGAAAAATAAATGTTTCGGAAGTAAGCACTTTCAGTGAAAATTATTATGAGACCGGCCAAATACGACGTAACACGTTCATCACTTTTCTAAACTAAAATCGCCTGGTGCAAATTCAATCGTTTCATTATTAATCACGCCTAGGTCAACTCATACGTTGATTGAATTTTATTTTAAGCATATTTGTCGATTACCTCATTATATATTATTTGCCCAGTAAACACACAATGAACATGAAAAAGTCGTTACTTCAAAGATTATTATTACCGTCTTGGAGGTTGATTTCTAGGTCAGATTTGTGTTGAATTCGCCAGATAGATAATACATACAACAAAAAGAAGCGTGAATAATCGAGTGGGTATTAGCTATTACGGCATCGTCGAACGCGAGCTAAAAAACCATTTAAACGTTGAAATGGTGTCAAAGCCTCGCTTATGTCATATTATAACGGACAATCGATATACGAACTGGTCCCTAAAATATTTCTGTACGATATTATGTGGCTAACTGTTTCTTAATTAATATTTTGACATTGTTACTACCCACATTGATTCAAATCGGTTAACTGCGGCTATGCAATTATCAATCAACTGATAGCCCTTTGGAAGATGATGTTAGTCACAATGACGTGTTACTTTATAAATATGAAAACAACTAGCGAAATTAGATTAGACGTCCTACGATTGAACCGCATACCGAATGAGACACAGGCAATATTACCCAATATGTTCATGTTTATACTTGAATTTCAATATTACGCAACTTTTCAGTTCCGCAACAACAAACCGACAACCGACAACGTACACTTCGGAAAGGTTGCTGATTACGTTAATTACTATTGTTACATATATAGAAATAAAATTGGAACAAGAACATTGACGCCGTTGAAACGGTATTTTCCGATGAATCAGAGTGATTCATTGTTTTCACAGAAGCGACAATGGGAAACTGAAGATGATGCATAAAAAATCGCCATTACATAAGTGATCTGGTTATTGGAATGGTTTTTAATGAATGGGAAATGCTTCTTCTGAGGAAATTGATTTACAACCGTTATTGGAAAAATGGGAAAAATAATGGCAATTAATTGTACACGTTGTGGTCAATGACATTGAATGCAGTAGCATTGAAAATTAGCATGCAGTCAAAATTTAGTGTCCAATTTTCTTAAGGACACACATGACTAATCGATTCCGAGAAACCGCAGCTGATAACTAAAATGTAACACTTTACTGATTTAATCGGAATTCCTGACAAAGTACCTAAGTAGTAAAAATAAACAGATATCCTCGTTTCATATATTTAAGAATCTAGGCTAGTAGAACACAGCGCGTCGTATGACCTACAATAGAAAAGTGCGGTTATAGATCAGCAAGAACCGATAGGACGGGTTACATAATGAAATAATAATCCTAAATAGTGCGCAACAATTATGTTTCAGTTTGGCAAAATCGAGCGGAAATACGCAGTCCTCTGTTTTCGAGACCCAGCCAGCAATATGATTCTCGAAAAACAGAGAACAAACAAACCAACACGTGGCAAATAAAAATGAGCGTATTAAACTGCAATTATGAATCAAGCTACGTACATAAATCCTCAATAAAATAAATGTTTTGTATAATAAACCCAATATATTATCATATCCTATAATAATGCTAGGCGACAACAAGCTTCAATATAAGATTTCAAAGATTAGTCATTATCATTAACTGTAAATGATGTTTCATACAATGCTAATTTATTAATATGAAATTCATCTGCATTGCATCAGCTATCTTGCTCATCATTGGCAATAATAATTCTCTTTCTTACCCAATTATATAGAAAAAAATCCAAGATCATGATTGGTTAAGTGGAACGCAACCGGCGTTAACATGACACTCGTTTAAGCTCTAATAATTATTATTACACGTGAAAACTCGCGAATTTATAATAACAAATAGATAACGGTTAGCTTTGTTACTAGAGCGTGTCAATTGTAACAATGTTAACGCAAAAATTTTCCCAAAAAAAACCCAAATTATAAAATTCGCCACTCACCAATTGTATAAGCTGCTAGTGTTGGGCGGGTATTTCCGCTAATTGAAAAGTTCGGAAAAGTCACTGTGGAAACTAGCTCCAAATTCAAAGTAACGAAACAAAAACAAAGGTTTAGCGACTTCTGCGCGGTTGAAATATTCCTAGGCACTTTCGCGTCTATTCCCTACAAGAATTTCAAGTAGACTGACTGAAATCGCGTTTGCGGACGATTTGAATCGGTATTCGCGGTTTCAACGTAAAATAGTGGGTTTTTGCTGTGTTGTCAAGTCGTTGCGCCAGCGTCGCGTCGCTTTGCGTCTACACTTTATAATACCGGCGCGTGTTTGTTGTTATTCCATGCACTTTAGTGATTTGTTTGTCAAATCGTGACGCGCTGCATGAAATATATTTATTCGTCCAGACAAAGACGCTATTTAAATTAGATCATTTTTGAGATGTCTGGATTATTTGGATCCCACCCCTGATGATACAGCAAATATTTGATCATTCTCTACGCATATCACATAACACAATTTCCATAAACATGTTGTTGATTGGCTAGTAAACACTTTTTCGCCTCACATATTGACAACAACCGTTAAGCGTTTTACCAATAACACGGCACTACGCCTTACCTCAAGTAAAATAAAACTTGCGAAATTCTCGCATAAAGAAAAAACACTTCATAGGTATATAGAGAACTTCGGTAATCCGAACTAACTATTGCAAGGGTAAATTCGGACTTTCCAAGTGTCCAGATTAAGGATTTTTTTAATGTTACCGTAATTAAAATTTCTTTATTTTTACTGCAAATCTTATTAGCTGAATTGAGAATTTCTGACGCAAAATATTTGCATATACTACTCGTAATGTACAAAATCCCGCAATTTGCAAAATGACCAACTCGGCAGGCACTTTGCAAAATCGCTTCTACTTTGGGTAATCTGCAAAATTTACTACGGTATTTTAGGCAAAGTAGTAGGTAGCGATTCTGCGTGGCGAGTTGGTCAGTTTGCAGAATGCTTAGGCATTTTGCAGACTGCCGGATTTCGCACATTGCCGGTAACACATGCACTAAAAGAATAACTGTGCCCATAAAATGGCTTAATTTTATACATACATAATACATATGTGTAAATCGATCTAAAAAATTAGTGATTTACTTGGTTTAGTATCTCTTTGCTCTATTGTAAATCATGTTTTTCCATTTCTGTTATAATTCGAATATGGTGATCGGATTTATAATTTCCCAAACTCCATTTTGGGCTCTACGTCGTTTGTCCTTCTGCTCCTAGTTGGACACAAAATGGTTTTTTCGATCTTAACTTCAAACGGTCAAAGAAACCAAATAGCTTAAAACGGTTTCTGAGTTTCTGAATCGCTTCTATTGACAGAGTTGTCTCAAAAAACAACTTTTTGGTCTTGATCTAGAGCTCATCTTGAAGCTAAAACTTCATAGACAAAGACAAAAATTCGATATACAGGGTTGCTTGAAAAATAACTCAAATCCCAATTGCCCCCGAAATTTATGATTCCAGCAGACTTTGAACTAAAGTGACCCCCGGTATATCGATTTTTTTTCTGAAGTCACTGTGGACTTACTTAACTTTTTAACTTTTAACTGAACCCTATATTTTAAAAATGAGTTCAAGAGAAAAACATATATCACTGCAAAACCAAAATGTTTATTTTACTGAGGCCACTCTGTAAATAAACGAGGTGGGAGTCAAAATTTTTTATCGAGATATGAAGTTTATCTTAATGCATGTGGTATTAAAATGAAAAAAAAAACCGTTATTGTCCACCTGAGAACACGTGGAACTTTCACCAGTTCTGCGTTGTTTCATTTGCCATTATACTTCACCTAAAGCTCTATTTTTTGCTCAAACACGCACTAACCGAAACAGGATTACCCTAAATAATGCTTCAAACAGAAATAGAATCGCTCACAGCAATTAGAATTTATCCAGTTCCAAAGTTGGTCCCAATTTGTCAGTCTAATGTTGATTTTGTTGAGCAGCTTAATAGGATTTAACTAAAATACATTAGCAAAATATTGTTATAATTCGGAAATACAGGGCGTTAAAGTTTGTATTCCAATATCAAACTAATTACATAATTTCTACAATTTTAATCGAATTTTCTCAAAAAGTTAGAGTAGTGAGTTTTCTTGGTGGAAAATTCGAATTTAAACTTAGTTTTGAGATATCTGCTAAAGGACGCTGTGTGTACGATATGCTGTTTGATTATGATTCCTCAAACTTTCTCAATGAATTAACGAATTAGCGATCCAATTGACAAAACTTTAAAGAATCACTAAAGATTTCAAGTTGAAATATCTCGAAAACGCCGAAATGTTGACTCAGTCAGATTCCTCGGTCTAAAAAACCACAAGATTCAATTTTTTTAGCAGTAGTAAACCTGGTGAAGAGCCTATTAACAAAACCAATATTTTCTTTTACGTAAATGTGAATGGAAAACATCATGTTTTCAAAAAATGTGAACATAAAAGCCTTAACATGATGTAGATTAAATAAATTAATAATTTCGAGGCCACACTTATGAGAGGAAAATGTTTTATTTCCCACATAATATGTAGTTAAAGTATTTCACACCCTGCTGCATAAGAGTAAATTTACTCAATCAAAATAAACTGATGTTCATATTGTTGCATTTACAGTTGAATCGTGGCAAATAAATGTTTTTATAGAAAAGAAACTTGCGAAGTTTGTTTAATATTCCTTAGCTTGGCAGCAAACTTCAGAAACATTCCAAACTCTCGGTTTTTGCTGAAATTTCTCCAGCGGTCAGGAAAAAACCGCAGCTCGAAAAGAAACGCCTTTCCTTTGAGAAAATCAGCAATTTTCGTTTCAAAGTGGGAGAATTCTGAATTTTTTTAAATTTCTAAGTGAATTGCGCAGTTTTGATGCACTCAATCAAACGAGTGATTTGAGGAAATGAGTAGAAAATTGTTGTTTGTAGTGAAAAAAATGTTTGATAACGAAAGTCGTGCCTTTATCGTGGTATTTATGTCTAAAAAGGCGTTTTCGTATTTTTTTTCATTATCATTTCATCTTTATTCGAAACACTGTTTTCAGTGTTTCGAATAAAGACCAGAAATACCATAAAAACCAGAATTTAAATGTATTTAGGTACAGCAAACAAATATTTTTCTGCGACTTCAATAGCTGCTGAAACAAAGCTAAGAAAAAACGAACGCTTTAATAAAAAACATACATTTCCATCAGATATTTGATGGAATTCTGATATTAAATAAAACGTATTTTTTAAAGACCTTAAAACCTATAATTTTATTTTGAGCCAGCTTACATCAAGTAGACGATAAAGTGATACAAATTTACTAATTTGAGAAACTGATTAAAGTCTTCCTTCAGAATTTATCATTTTCAGATGTTTATTTTAACGCTATTAATATGCTGTTATTTTATAAAAACTGGCCAGTTTCAAGCAATGAAATTACACTGAGTTTACATGACTGAAAACTGACCAATCAAGACTTTGATAACCAGAATGATCTGAACCTATGAAACAGAAACAATGACTAAACTTTAACGTTTTCGCTTAATAAAAATTAAATTTTACGCAATTTTGCGTGGTTGTCAATACCATACCACTACCAGCTTAAAACGGTTCTGTAAACTATAAATAATATTTTCAGCATCTGATGTAATGGAACCGAAAAATGAATGTTTGCAAAACGCATATCTGAGTGATAAAGTTTAAAAAATCA